ACATGGGTATATGCTAAATGAATATTTCTTTAAAGGATGAACCATAGGTTACTGTATCAAGGCTCAAACGTACACCTTCAGTGAGAGAAACTATCAATTACATGTACACTCTCTCAAAAGAGAAACGCACGAAGGTAAATCTAGGAACAAAATTTCTGTATTTTGAATGACAACAACAAAGGAAATATAATCCACACAGATATCAAATTTTGCATGATGAGGGTCATTGGGAAGCTGCACCAAATGAATGTAAGGTCATGTCACCACAACGTCAACACTGCACTCATGGACGCCGGCTTTAACGTCAGTACCGGTTGTGACCTCCGTTTGCTTGGGGCACTGCTGGGCGATTTGGCATCTCCTGGGCATAGAGAAAATAAGTGTTTGGATCCGAGCACTGGGTATTCTAGCCCATTAATCCTGCAATGCTTGCCGTAGTTGGTGAAGCGTCTGGGCTCGTGGATGACGTCGTCGTAGCCGTCGATCGAGATAATCCCATAGGTGTTCGATTGGGTTTAAATCTGGGAATTTAGAGGGCCAGGGAAACACTGTAATGTTCTGGTTGGTGTATAAGTTCATTGTCATTCGTGCTGTATGTGGTCTGGCGTTATCCTGCTGGAAAACATGTCTCTGTGGGTCGAAAACGGGATGGAGGTGAGATTGCAGGATTTCATCTCTGTAACGAATGGCGGTTAGATTCCCCTCTACATGCACTAAGTCAGTTCTTTGGTTATCATCACAACATCACACTTCCTCCTCCAAATCTGTCAACCTGCGCGACACAGTTAAGGGCGTTACGCTCATTTCGACGTCGGTACACACTGGTTCTACCATCATGTCATTGCAGCATGAAACGGGACAGGTCACTGAACCAAATTCTTTGCCAGTGTCTCCAATTCCATCTTTGAACGTTCCTGCACCAACGAATACGAGCAAGGCGGTGATGACGTTGTAGTATACATCAACGAAGTCCACTCTGTCGTAGGCGATTTCTAATAGTCTGCGGAGAAACATTCTGTAGTCCTGTGACATTTCTTGCAGTTTCAGTTGCTGCCACTATCCTGTTGCGCAGATAGAACAACCGGATGTGACGATCCTGTGCCCCAGTGGTAACCCTTGGCCTACCACTTCTCGGACGGTCCTGGGTGGATCAAAGTTGTTGGTAAAGACCCCAAAATCGTGAAATAGTGCTATGGTCGACATGGCCTCTAGACGGCCAATTGCAATATTTCGATCTGCAGCCACCAATCTTGGCATTTCGATAGTCTCCGTGTTAGATCAAAAATGCGACTAGATATACCATTGTGTCATTTCTTTATAAACCGCGCCTCAGAACACAGTTTCACCTATTGGGGTCCATTTTCACGTGAAAGATTCATGCATTTCGGATAATGACGTGTTTAGGGTTATGGTTTTTATCAAGTGATCTGTTTTGGCGACTGAGTACGCGTTTAAACCTGCATTCAATATAATTTGCTGTCAAAACAAATATTTTTTTAGTTTGACTTGGATTAAAGTGCGTTGATAAATTACAATTCACACGTGCGTTTCTTTTTTGAGAGAGTATATATAAGTGGTTTGAATATTGACCAGCAGACAGATTGTCTTGTGCTTACTGGCGGATTCCATCCCAGAAGTCTCGAACTATTCAGTTACAAATGGTCATGCTTGATGATTAGTTCTCACAAACGAGATAGATAACTTATTTGGCGGAATAATGGAGTCAGAGAATTAATTGCAGTCAGTGTAAAGAGTTTGTCCAAGGTTAGCTTCGACCGTTCCTTTATGCATGAATCGCTTTCAAATGATAATGTGCGTGTGAAGTTGACGCGCCACTGATGAAGATGCATAATGGATGACCAGTCAATTTCTTGTACGAGGGTAGATAAAACAGTACGTAGACTACCTGTATTCTCCATGTCCAATAATTGAAAAGCTTCCATTTTATTTTGAAGGAATCTTTAGCAAAGTCATATCCAAAATTTCACATGTGTGAGTAATGTGGTTAACGAGATATTAGTCATCATAACACATTGGGGTATAATATTTCTAACAAAACTGCAGAAAATGAAAAACGATCTGTCATTTGGTACCTCTTGGATAATGGTATGCCCTCAGAGTATATCATATAAAATATGTTCAGTGTAGTATTGGATGACTTTCCGTCATAATCAACAGTCACAGATTTGGATTGTTTAATTTATATTTAGTCGAGGGGTGTTTTTACGGACACTCCCATTTCAATCTTCCTAAAACATTGTGCCCTGATATTCAAGCTGGTACTGTTTCCAATAGATTGTGAGCTGACACTTGTGTGACCATTCAGTGTTTAGTTTGAACCCTTGGCGTCATGTGTGAATAATTGAAAACATTAGAAACACCAGAAATTATTGAGAATAAAAGATTGTATTTTTTTAATTTTTGTTCAGTCATTACTCACGTATTAAATGTGAATATTAGAAGAACATAACTCCAGATTCAAAGGCAGGTGAACAGTTACTATTTTGTCAAGTCACCATGGGCAGCAATGCAGGCTTCAATGCGGCGGGGCATACTACTGATCAAAGAAGTTAGAAAGTCGTGGTCCATGCTGTCCCAGTATCGGACCACCTCTTCTTTCATTTCAGCAATATTTGTCAGATTGTTCTTATTGACACTTTCCTTCATAAGTCCCCAAACATTTTCTATTGGATTTAGGTCAGGGCTATAGCTTGGCCAATCTAATAATGTCATATTTTGGGTCCGAAACAAGGCCTGTGAATGCTTTGAACAATGTTTTGGGTCGTTGTCCTGCTGGAAAATCCAAACATTTCCATAGAACACGTGAGCACATGGAAGTAAATGTCCCTCGAGACAATCTGTGTACCGCTCACTGTTCATATTCCCTTCAAATACAAAGAGGGGCGTTGCCCCTAACACAGATATGCCACCCCACACGTTAAATTTCGGACTGTACTTTGGACGCTGATACAAAGGTTTTTCAGTTTGTTTGGTCCAGAATTTCAGTGTATTAGGAAACAGCCACACAGACCTTTCATCTGAGAAAATCACATTGTCCAAATTAAAATTTCTATGCTGTAAACACCAGTTCAACCTTCGTTCCTTTTGTTCAGGTTTCATGATCGGTGATGGAATTCCTCGACTTTTCTGCCAACCCATTGCATGCAGTTCAGTTCTAATTGTCTCCTTACATACAGCCTCAGTTCCTCCATCAATCATATCCAGACTTAAGTTTTCTAAAGTCCTTCGTTTGTTTTTTAGAAACAAGGACACCAAGCCGTCTCCTGTCACCGACAGCCAATTTGTTTGGCCTACCTGCGCCTCCCTGGTGCTCAATGCCATATCCACGATAAACAGTGGACAAAGGGATGCCTGTTCTACTTGAAATCACTTTAGCTGATCTGATGTCCTTGTTATAATACTCTGACATCAACTTCCTCTTCTCTAAATCATCCATACTGAGGATCACTGAAAATGTCGTCTGCTAGCAAGTAAACAAAGGGGGATAACTCTTCACAAACTAATGAAAAAAGGATTAACGGAGTTGTCTCTCTTGAATGAAACCAAGCACTTGATAGGTGGTCAAGGTTTACTAGAAATCCAATTAAACATATTCCTAAAATTCTCAATAATTTCTGGTCATACTATATAAAAGAAACTTATGCACACATCAAGGTCAAAGCAAAGACCTTAGACAGTGTTTTGCAAATATAGTATGATTAGGATGCAAGTTACGTTCCGTTACATTTTATGACCCTCATATGAATATACGACTTGTTCTTGTGTACTGAGGGGTCACACATAAGAAATAAAATTGGTTTGTTGTTTACGCCGCACTCAGCAATATTCCAGCTGCATGGCAGCAGTCTGTATAAAATCGAGTTTGTACCAGACAATCTAGTAATCAACAGCATGAACATCGATCTTTGAAAATAGAATACGATGACAAGTGTCAACCAAGTCAGGAAGGCTGACCACCCGATCCCGTTAGTCGCCTCTTACGACAAGCATGGGTTACAGAAAACCAATTCTAACCCGGATCCTCATGGGTGATAAGAGATAAGACGTCATGTCATATATTATCACGAGAAGCAATTAAGGATCTCTTTTATAATGTAAATTATGATTTAATAATTGTTTTTGTTTTCACAGAAATGCATATAATTATTAGATAAATTTTGAACAATATGTTTTGTAAATAAATAAATGTCATCTTGTAAATGGTAGTATAAATAAGCAACTGCGATTGTTAGTGGCTGTATCCTCAAAGGTGGGTAAAGTATCGTAAAATTATTGTCCCCATGAGAGGGTAGTCCCAAAACTTTTGAGGTAAAATTTATACATACCAATTGTTTAAACGTAGTATTTTTGTTATTTTAAATTTCGGCTCAATTTTCCTACAATCGCCAGCCGCTGAAGGGATGGTGTAAATCCAGCTTAGGTCCACGCAGGTAGCAAAAGTACTGTAAGTCCCCATGGTCCCCTATGGTGATTTACCTTCAGTTGTTGGCGATCTATAACCTGTTGTTACATCATGTATTGTCCAAATAGTACTATTAGTTTTAACTTCACATGCTAGTTTTTTTATTTGAACTGTGATAGTCTAGTTGTTTTACTCTCCTTTGACCACAGGTTTTATAAACTACACATATTCTTCATAAACGTCAAATTTGTCCTCGTCACGATATGGCTGATACATTGTCGATGTGACGTTAAATATTAACTCACTCACTCAGTGGTATCATGAGTGCAGTTCGGTTGCATCGAGAGTAAACCATTTTATACAGACAACGACTGAATGCATATTCTTTACGCCACACCAAAAATGTACCAGCTATTCGTGGCGAGAACAGGTAACTATGATTTCCACATAGATCAGAGATAGAGCAAAAAACTGGTAACATAGACACCAGTCTTATAGATGCCTGTTTGTATATGTTTGATACCCCCACATACCTAGGTGACACTTAAATAATGATACTGAGTATAAATCTCCATACCTGAGGACGATTCCATCCATATGAGAAACAAAAGTACGAAGTCACCAGATATAGCCTGAAATGCACGGCTTTTTCTCATTCTGGTACCATAGGGCAAGAAATACTGGAGTGACACTGTGTTTTGGTTTACATGTAGATATAGAGAATATTATTGATTTACTAGGTTAACAAAAAAGTGGGTGTACACATCAAGGGCCGTGAATGGCAACTGTCCAATATCTAATGGAGTAAACATGTTTAGCTTGTAACCATCGCGATAAAGTCAAAACATGAACAGTGTATGGATTAGTCCCGACAACGGCTTTCCTGAACGCCTTAATTACATCAACTGTCAAATCATATTAACGATTTGCCTTGTACTCCAGTGACACGGGTATTCAATTGATTGATATAATTTATTGACAGCTCAATACGGTAATAACTAGTTGTGCTATTGATTCGGACTGCTAACAAGAACCTCCACTGTAAGTAAAACCGTGTATTTCCTACAATTTACAACACATCACTGATGAACATGTAATGGAGAAATAAGCATCTGCAGTAAAAAGTCGAGTGGTCTCTCTTACTTTCATTGATTTATTCATAAGTGTCCTTTGGTGTAAAGGGCGAACGATTGAACCACTAAACTAAGTTTCGTGGGAATGAAGACACGTTGACAAATTTAGAGCACGTTATTACTGTAATTCACTAGGGATATGTGATTCGTTAAAGCAAGTAGGTTATTATTGATATTACACACAGTTTCTTAGCCCATGCTGGCGTAATGCCATTGTAGTCCCTATTCCAAAACCTGGCCGGGATCACACTGATCCATCAAATTACAGACCAATCTCTTTAACAAGTTGTGTCTGTAAAACCATGGAAAGAATGGTGAATAATAGATTAACATGGTATCTTGAAACCAATAACCTTATAACCAATATTAAATGTGGTTACAGGAAAAATCGCAGAACCATTGATCATTTGGTACGACTAGAATCCTTTGTTAAAAATGCACTAGTAAATAAACAACATGCCGTATCGATATTCTTGATCTCGAGAAAGCGTACGATACCACCTGGAAGCATGGCATTTTAAAGGATTTACATGAATTTGGTTTGAGGGGGCGTTTACCTCTTTTTATTTCACAGTTTTTATCAGACAGACAATTTCATGTCCGAGTGGGTTCTACCCTGTCTGACCATTATAATCAGGATCAGGGTGTCCCACAAGGCAGTATTTTGTCTGTAACATTGTTTAGCATTAAGATCAACAGTTTATCCAAGGTTTTAAACGATTCAATTGATGGATCACTTTTTGTGGATGATTTTAATATTTCTTGCCGTGGCAAAAATATGCATACTATTGAACGGCAAATGCAGATGTGTTTAAACAAGATAAACAGTTGGTGTCTTGAAAACGGTTTTAAATTTTCTAAATCCAAAACTAATTATATACATTTTTGTAGAAAATATAAACCGCATAAAGACCCGGAACTCTTTCTAAATGGTACTCCCATCAAAGTTGTTAAGGAGGCCAAGTTCTTGGGTTTAATTTTTGATTCCCATTTAACGTTTCTGCCGCATATTAAATCCCTTAAAAGTAAATGCCTGAAGGCACTTGGCTTGTTAAAAGTTGTTTCAAATTCTAAGTGGGGAGGGGATCAAGCCACTCTCCTACATCTATATCGATCATTGGTCCGCTCGAAACTTGATTATGACTCCATCGTATATGGTGGAGCCCGTAAAAGCAACTTAAAACTATTACATTCTGTCCATCACCAAGGTCTAAGACTTTGTCTTGGATCCTTTAGAACTTCTCCCGTTGACAGTCTCTACGTCGAGGCAGATGAACTATCTCTTACCCAACGCCGTATAAAATTATCATTACAATATATTACTGAAAGGCAAAAGAAACGTCGTCATTTTAGAAATAACATTTGAGTAGCAATGGAGTATTTGAACCTATTTTTTTAAATATACACCAGAAGTCAAGTTTGAGGAAACATGAATCGTGGTCGTATAGCCTGCATTTCCCAATAAAGTATTGTTTGAGATTTAAGTTAGAAATGTTTTTGTTTTTTGGAGAGGGAAAAGTTCCCACAAACACAACATTGAAATCGAGATGCACGTGCATCATAAATGCATTCAGGCATAAATTGCCGGCTTGAATGGCAATCGTTCACTTGTTTTCTGAACACAGCAGCTATGACTAGGTTAACGAGAGATCAACCACAACAAGCTATTGGACGTCTGCACGCTGGTCAATATGCTGGAGTCATTGCTAATGACTTCAGTTGCAGCGTACGAACGATAGAACGTCTTAGAGTGCGATACAACGCCACCAGCAGCACTGATGACCGTCCACGTAGTGGTCAACCCCGTGTAACAACACGTCGCCAGGACCGTCATAACGTCCATCAACACGTGCAAGACCTATTCGCAAGGGCCGGAGAAACAGCTTGGGTGACCATAGGAAACCACCAGCGAGCAGTCAGTGACCTACCATTCGGCGGCGTCTCCAAGCCAGGAACCTGTTTTGTCGATGTCCTGCCAGGAGACCCATATTCACCCAACGTCACCGCCGGGAACGTATCCAAGTGGACACAACAGCGGCAAAACGGTCGTGGGGGACAATGGAGAGGGGTTATCTTCTCTGATGAAAGTCGGTACTGCATTTCAGTGGCATATTATTTAAAAAAAATAGGTTCAAATGTTCCATTGATACTTAAATGTCATTTCGAATATTACGACATTTCTTTTGCCTTTCAGTATATTACCAAACTATATTCTAACGAGTCTAATCCTGCATTTCACTGCATCTTTAATCCTCTTTATGAGGATTTGTACAACAAGAAATCTTCTCTTGTTCCGCCTCTTGGGCTCAGGATTAAGCCATTAATTACTGCTGCCGGCATTGAGCTGGAAACTAAAGCTCCTTCCCGACTTCTTTCTTCTCCTCCTTGGCAAATGGTTAGACCCCAAGTCGACCTAACATTAACATCGTTTAAAAATCAGAAACTAATGACTTACAATATAAACAAGAATATAATCAATTAAAGAATAAATATAATACATATACATCCTTATTTACAGATGGGTCCAAGGATGATGGCGCAGTGGCTTGTGCCACTGTCATTGGGTCCAAAACAATTTCTTCCAGATTACCCAATGACAGTTCAATTTTCACAGCAGAAGCAAACGCAATACTTACAGCTCTTAAATATATAAATAGACACCCTGAATATAAACAATATATAATAATATATAATATTTTCCGATTCTCTTTCTTGCCTTCAGGCTATTAAAAAACTTTCTTGTAAACATCCACTTTTATTAGAAATTATTGAATTATATAATGATCTTGCAACTGGCCAATACGACATCGTCCTCTGTTGGTTACCCAGCCACGTTGGCATTTCTGGGAATACACCGGCCGATCTTGCTGTCAAGGCAGCACTCAACAAATCTGTGACACCACTTCTTATCCCATACTCTGATTACAAAGCTAGCATTAGAACTTACATCCGTGATATGATGCAGAAGAAGTGGGACACTCAAGTAGGTATTAATAAATTACATGAAATAAAACCTTATATTGGTTACACCTACTTTGGTTGTCAGTCCAGATTTGAAGAGGTCATCATACGACGATGTTGTATTGGCCACACAAGATATACTCATGTTTATCTATTGAAAGGCGAGGATCCTCCGTTTTGTATCCCTTGTGATGAGAGAACCACGGTCAAGCATATCCTGCTTGACTGTGTTGAATTCTCCATCATAAGGGATAAATATTTCAATATCAAAACAGTAAAGGACCTTTTTAATAATGTTAATTATCATTTTTAAAAGAAATAGATTTGTTAAATGAATTGTGAATACATGTTTTGTAAATAGATAAGGTTTTATAATTGGTAGTTTAGATTATCAACTTCGATTGTTAGTGGCTGTACCCTCAAAGGGGCTTGAAGTATTGTAAAATTATTGTCCTCCTGAGAGGGTACGTAAGTCCCAAACACATTTAGCGTAAATTTAGGCTTGCCACGTTTTTAATCGTATGTGTGCTTTTAATTTGTGGGCTAGATTTCTCTTCTGTCGCCAATGACTGAGGGGGATGGTGTAAATCCAACTAGGGTCCATGCAGGTAGCAAAAGTAATGTAAGTCCCCATGGTTCCTAGTATGGTGATCTACCTTCAGTTGTTGGCGATCAATAGCCTGTTTTTATATTGTATTGTCTTCGTAAATAAAATAGTTTTACATGTTCATGCTAGTTTTAGACTCCATCTGTGATACTCTAGTTATTTTACAGTCTTTCGATGACTGATTATTTAGCAACTTAAATATATTGTTTATGTAAAACATGTCTCGTCACTATATGGTTGAAATATTGCCGAGGTGACGTTAAATTTTAACTCACTCACTCTTAGCCCATGCTTGTCGTAAGAGACGACTGACGGGATCGGGTGGTCAGGCTTGCTGACATGATCACACGTCACTGTATCCCAATTGCTTAACTTGGTGCTCATGATGTTGAACACGAGATTGTCTGGTCTAGACTCGGCTATTCACAGACCACCGCTATATAATTGGAATATTGCTGACTGCGGCGTAAAAAAACAGTTTCTTTTTCTGAGAAAATGGTGATTTCTAGATCATTAATTGAAATATCAAGTAGTATACTTACATCTGGTCCAGCATTGTAGTGGAACAACGTTTCTAGCAACCGACATGAGCCCTTTACACCTTCCAGAAACCTACGATTGTGGCTTCGAATCGTTAATATTGTGTTTTAAGTTCGTCAGGACAGGTATCCGTGCTCGAAGATGTATAGAACGTGGTGAACGTCAAACACCTGCATCGTTTCAGAACTTCATCCACACCAATCTGACCCGCCATGGTTTAAATTATATATAATGTTAAAAGTTAGAAATTTTCGCGGGTCAATGGTTGAAGCGTTCGCCCTTTACACCGAAGACCAACATGGTGTACAGTGTATATAGCCCATGTTTTATTTCCCTCACCATGATATACTACAGGAATAGTGCTAAAAGCGGAATAGAACCTTAATCACTAGACATTGAAATCTGAACAGATTATCCACAATGAATATTGGCGCTGCTGTTGTGTGTTGATATTAAAAGGATTCCAAAATCATTAGACGGATACAAGAATTGATCTCCACCGATGTCAAATCACAGATTGATTAACGTAAATGAGGAATCTAACATTAAACATTTATCTCAATCGATATCAATTTATGGTCACATCAACATCTTTTTCCAGGTTAAATAAATAATGACGAGATGAATGTTTATTTGTATGGTTAATCTAAAACCGACGCTATCTACAATGAAGGTTTTTATAACCGAAATAGAAGACACAGAAGAAGTTCACAAACATATGTTATATTTCTTACATGTTTGTTTGTTTCTTTTCCTGCACTCAACACTATTCCAGCTATATGGCGGTGGTCTGTAAAACCGGTCCTGGACAAAACTATCTAGTGACCAACAGCATGAGCATCGAGCTACGCAATTGGGATACCATGATATGTGTCAACCTAGTCAGCAAGCCTGACTACCCGATCCCGTTAGTCGCCTCTTACGACAAATATGGGTTGCCGAAGACTCATTCTAACCCGGACCTTTACGGGTTTTCGTGCATGAAGCGGCTATGTAATAATTTGCAAATCGTCTGCTATCAGTTAATCAATCGTATATTAATTTACATTCTTTGTGCAATATGATTATGTAGTTGCATATACATCCGATCCATGCCTGCATTGTTTGCGGTCGGTATCCAGAAACATCTTTTATATTTTTTCATCCATTCGAACGCCAAAGTGCACGCCCCGTGAAGGAACGCGTTGGAAATGATCGTTATCAGAGACCCATGGTTTTGTTAGAGGCAAATACCATTGGTCAGACTGGCTTACTTTGTTGACGTCTGTCATCATGACCCATTTGCGTTGTACCCGCGAGGAATCTGGGTTAGAACTTGTCTTCAGTAAACCATGACATACCAAACGATACACAGCCTGGGACCATGGCATCACTGACGGCAGCAAGTAAACATATATGTTGGGTGAGTGAGACAAGTCATAATGTCACGATTTAACTTTCATTTTCGGAACATTAGTTCCGAGTACTGAATAACTGCTGTTTCTGTGTCCCAGTGCCTAGAGTAGACATTTCACATTCATTAAAAAGGATCAATGAGGAAGAGTGAAGCAAGATTCAACTACATGTGACATGACCTTGCAAACTACAGGAAAAGAACATTAAAAACAAAACACTTCTCTGCCATAGTCCGCAGGACTCAATACATTCGCATAAATATTTAGAATAGGATACTACAAAGTCCGCAGTCTGTACTACCAGTTGTCCGACTTCCATTTTTTGTCGAAGCCGCGGTGGCTGAGCGGTCTAGGCGTCCTGACTTTGTGTGCTGGCGATTAGGTGCCTGACTCTGAGGGTGTGGGTTCGAATCCCGGATGGGACTCAACCCAGCAAAAGTACTAGAATCTGTACTTTACTAAGAAAGTGTAATCCCAAATATAACATATGTTAAAAAGGATACTAGCCGAGTTTAAATGTGAATCGGCGAAATACAATGTGCGCTCCACTGATTTTGATGTAGCTTGAAGACTGTGTCAGGAACGTTGTGGACAATTTGGACAATTCTTGAACTGGCAGAGTTTCTTGTGTTTGAAACAGTTATCTTACAGGTATATGGATTTGCAGGATGGACAGACTACATACTTCACAAACGTATCTTGGCGGTATCCGCAATGTTTTTGTGAGTATGTACACTGACGATGGAACCGGGTTTGCCAATATTGACCGCAAATAGTTAACAGGTGTCGGACCAATGTCAGGACAGCGATACAAGTAATTGCAATGCTGTACAAAATACTCTACGTACTTTGGAAAACAATAACCCACTGAGATATTGTATTCACGTCGGAATCAGTACTCGGGGCGCATGTCAGATTTGAACTTGAACATGCGAAGTCGTTAATATCTTGGTCGACGTTGTCTGCGACTGTGTCTGGCCAAAAGGTCTGCAAGACTGCTTCAAACAAAGGAATATATCCAAGGATAGGAACTTCTCTGACGGAGGAAATGACAGCCACACAACATCGCATTTACTTGTGGAACATTTATCTTGGCGATCTGAGTTCGTGCATCGTCAAATAAAACGACTTGATGTACAGTCAAGACGAACTTCCAAAAGGCATGGAGGTCCGAAATTCCTATGGCATGCCCAGAGAACGCATGCCGCCTTCCGATGCATCTGGACATAATGATAATGTGTCCATTTATGAAACGCCAAACTCCACACTAGGTATGCTCATAGCGCTAACAATCAATAACACTGCCCATTATTACCCCGGATACCCTAAGCTGCCTTTTAGGCGCTAGAAGGTTATAGTCACTTGACTTATTCCACCGGGTACCCATTTTCTGCTGGGTGAACAGAGGCAATTTTGAACAAACTCACTTGCCTGAGGTGAGACGACATAATCAATATATACGGCATGAAACATACATGTTTCATTTCCTGTCTCACATAACATACAAAACAAATAGTGAAACGTCACATGTGGTACTTTATGTCCCAAGCATGAGTGAGTGAGCGAGTTTAGTTTTACGCCGCACTCAGCAATATTCCAGCTACATGGCGGCGGTCTGTAACTAATCGAGTCTGGACCAGATAATCCAGCGATCAACAGCATGAGCATCGATCTGCTCAACTGGGAACCGATGGCATGTGTCAACCAAGTCAGCGAGCCTGACCACCCGATCCCGTTAGTTGCCTCTTACGACAAGCATAGACGCCTTTTGTGACAAGCATGAGTCATGAAGACCTATTCTACCCCGAATCTTCACGAGTTGTCCCAAACATACTCATATAGAACAAAGTTTGTTGTTAGTGGATAAATCTGGTTTATGGACGTAATGAGCGTACAATAAAACAGTACAAGGCATCATGATGCTCCCTCCGCAGGCTACAATTGCACGTTAAGGTCACTTTTTTAATATCACAGGAACTAGCAATAACGTAAATTCTGTTACACCCGTGAAAACAGCATTAGGCAACCTTGGCTCTTGCTGTACCAACGTGGCGCCCAGGTCTTGAACATTCTTTGGTTGACGTCTCAAGGCAAGAAGCTTTCTTTCAAGAGCATCTTACACGTGATCGATGGGATTGAGGTCAGGTTGTCCCCATTGCCATCATGTCAATGCCCGCATTTTGCAGGATATTTCATGTCAAAATCAGCTGCGTGTGGTGTTACATTGTCATATTGGAATTAGAGGCCTGGGCCATGAACAGTACCAGCTCCGGGACATCGACTTGACATATCACGCTGCATGGAGCCTCCCACGAGTTACGAGAATACACGAACGCACGTGCCCGGAGCTTCCTAAACCATCACGCTACGCCACAACCATCTTCCTACATGCAACACTGATTCGCATGTGCACGGGCAACAGCCACAGTTGACTGGAGCAGGCCAATTACAGGTTTACATTTAATTCAACATTTGTAAGCCGTGACATGAGAATTGTGTATCTTTCAAAGATGGTTAACGTGCTTTTGTCTCATCACCAGTATATGCTGTGCACATATTGGTGGTTAGGCACATGAAACTGTGGTCACGCGACCCCTCCCACGTATACATGTACAGTGTCGTGTTTTTCACAAAAGAGCATCTTGCATTCACCACTCGTGGTTCACCACAGTTAAAATGCGTCATACACCTGGTCATTATGGTATTCGTCCATGCTAACTACTTTAAGTATCCATTTTGAATATAATTCATCTCTCCAAATATGAAGTGTCATGTTTTCTTCAATATATATCATTTGATATGACATTGTTTGTTATCGTTTATTCTTTGCATTACTTAAGGAAATGCGGACATCTTTTATTTTAATATATGACTTGGAATGTATGAGCGGAACGGGAAATAACGTGGTTCAGGCACTGTGAGACTACTAAAAAGGACCACGTGTAGTGCAATAGTATTTCAATTATGTGCTCACAAAAATATATTTCATAGCAGTGTTGCTCAAACTGAATAGAAGTTGAAATTACAAATGGTTTCTCTCGGGTATTTGCTCCAAGAGAGATATTCTCTGTTTAGGTGAGGTGAGGTGAGGTGAGGTGAAATGGGGTTTAACGTCGTACTTAACAAATATTTCGCTCATATGACGACGTGCATGTGTGGCTGCTTGTCCTAGCCAAGATTTAAGCTGGTTTTATGGTGCTAGCTGGCTGAGCTACCATGCCGCAGTTAAATAAAAAAGTATCTGTACATTTCTAAATTAATCCAATACTCTTGTACAAAATGGACTATGTACGTTTCTAAACTAATCCAATAATTGTGTAGTAAACAAGATCTTATATATTTCTAATAACATGCATTCCTATTAGCCCTGCTATCTGTATCCATTATGACGTCTACATGTATCACGTTTTCATTGCATTATGACGTCATGGGCAGGGTTAACTGTTTATTAGTTTTGCCTGATGATGGAACCGGAACAGGACCCGAAACCTTGTATCAAAGAATAAAAGAAGAAAATTCTCTGTATTCATCTTCTAAAATAAGCAAATCAATAACAGGGCACAGTACCAATATCTTATGTAACCTCCCCCAACTTTTATAACATCACAGACGGAAGGTATTTTGTGACAGTCGCATATAGCGACAATATCATCTACGGGCTGTTCTTGCATAGAACTGTGTATCTATGGATACCGTAAGCAACGTGACAACACTTCTGTGAGATACTGTGGTATTGACATGTGTGGAGAGCAGCCCATCCGTTTTCAATCGTCCGACTGCTTTCCCAAGCAAGATATTTCTGAAATAATGATTAAACACCATAGTGAGTGAGTGAGTTAAGTTTTACGCCGCACTCAGCAATATTACAGCTATATGGCGGCGGTCTGTAAATAATCGAGTCTGAACCAGACAATCCAGTGATCAACAGCATGAACATCGATCTGCACAATTGGGAACCGATGACATGTGTCAACCAAGCCAGCTAGCCTGACCACCCGATCCCGTTACTCGCCTCTTACGACAAGCATGGGTTACTGAAGATCAATTCTAACCCGGATCTTCACGGGTAATTTAACATAAAAAACATGTACAGATGCTATTTGTCGAGGATCATTCCTGGAGCCTCTTTAGACTTTATGCCCCGTGAGTAGAGCTACATGGCATATATTACAAAAACAAAAACGGTTACAAATAATTTTAGGAGAAAACTTAACCTCTTGTTAAATTTACGGTTGTTATTGAGTAGGTAATACCCAGAAATTACACCATCCGTGACGATTCGGGTTAGAATTGGTGTTGAGCAAACCCTGCTTGTCGTATCGGGATCGTGTGATCAGGCTCGCTGACTTTGTTGACACATGTCATCGTATCCCAAATGTGTAGATTGATACTTATGATGTTGATCACAGGAGTGTCTGGTCCATACTCAATTATTTACAGACCTCCGCCCCATAGATGGAGTGCGGCCATGTACTTTTGCTACCTGCATGGACCCCAGCTGGATTTACACCAACCCTTCAAATGCTAACGATTGGAGACAAAGCTAGTCATAAGTCAAAATAACATATATCCTACGATTAAATTATGTGGTAGATTACAATTGACTTTGAATGTTTTGGGACGTACGTACCCTTCCGGGAGGACAATAATTTTACAATACCTGAACCCCCTTGTGGACACAGCCACTGACAATCTCGGCTGGTAATTTAAACTACCATTGATCAAATATAACTTATTTACAATAACAATGATCTATTTAGAAAATATATCATCCACATCTTTTCAATCAATTCTATTTCGTTTAAAACATTAATAAGACGATGACAAGTTACATTACTAGAAAATCCCTCAATGTTTTGACACTGAAATATTTATCCCTTGTGATGGAATAATCAACACAGTCAAGCAGGACATGCTTGACCGTGATATTTTCGTTACAAGGGATGCAAAACGGAGAATCCTCACCTTTCAAAAAGTATTCGTGTGTGTATCTGGTATGGCCAATGCTACATCGCAGCATAATATCCTCCTTAAATCTGGACTGATAACCCAAGTAGGTGTAACAAATTGCTGGTTTTATTTGATGTACACGGTATATGTTCTAAGCACAGGTTTGTAGTCGGCGTATGGGATTAGAAGTGGTGTCACAGATTTGTTGAGTTCTGCGAAATCAGCCATTGTGTTACCAGAAATTCCAACATGGCTCGGAAACCAACAGAGGACGATATCGTATTATAATCAAAATTGGATGTTCACAAGAAAGATTATAGCCTGAAGACACGAAATGGAGTCCGAAAAGATTATGTATTGTTTATATTGAAGGTGGTTTTAATATATTTAACAGCCGTTAATATGTCAATGCCTTCCGCTATTATCCGGTATTGTGGAAGATATTGTTCTGGATCCATTGACAGCGCCACCATCCTTGGATTCATCTGCAAATAAAGGTCAACATCTGGCCTCACTAATTGCCAAGGAGCACAGGAAAGAATGCGAGGAGGATATATACTTTCCAGCTCACTGCCAGCAGCAGAAAGGAAGTGTTTGACACTTATTCCTAGAGGCGGAACAAGAGAAGACTTCTTATTGTACAGATCCTCATAGAGGGGTTTAAAGACACACTTTCACTTAGAATATAGTTAAGTGATATACTGCAAAGATACTTTGATACAGAGTTTGATAAGAGAAGGCTCGTCTCGCTTCTGGTAGAGTGTGCACGGAGACAGCAATCTCTAATTCTTTGGTCATTTAAAACGTTTGCAAATACTGAGGTTGCAACAGAGCTTATGGAGCAGGCTGTTACAGCGGTGAAACGTTTCACTATCAAGAAAGAGGGCGTCGTCGTAAACACCAACACCTATCTCTTGACATTTGCACTTGCAACCATTCCCCAATCAATCAAAGCAGGATATTTGCGGAGTGGAGGTGTATGTCCCCAATCAACTCCGGTGTTATACATGTCAACGTTTTGGTCATGGGTCTAAGTCATGTCGAAACTCTGTGGTGTGTCACTGCTGTGGAGATCGCCAGGATAATACAGACTGTCAAAAAGAGTATAAATGCGCGAATTGTGAAGATCCTCATCCTTCTTCATCCAGATCCTGCCCCGTGTGGCAAAGGGAAGCGAAAATTATGAAACTAAAGTGTGAAAAAAACATTTCATACTTAGATGCAAACATCCCGTTGAATATAACATATTCCGCTGCAGTGACCCGTGCTGTAGCAACATCCTCAATTGCATGTCAGACTGACTTGACATGGGCCAAGTCAGAAAAACCTGTTTTAGCCCCTCTACCTACGTTCACAGTCATTCAGTCTACTTCCCAGTCACTCAATCTCCTTCCCCAGTCACTCAGTCTACTTCCCCAGTCACTCAGTCTACTTCCCCAGTCACTCAGGCTACTTCCCCAGTCACTCCGTCTACTTCCCCAGTCACTCAGTCTACTTCCCCAGTCACTCAGTCTACTTCCCCAGTCACTCAGGCTACTTCCCCAGTCACTCAGGCTACTTCCCCATTCACTCAGTCTACTCCTTGATGCCAACGAGAGAGTCAGATTGATAAACCATCTGAAACGTCTGTTACACTGCCAGCGCAAGTTCATGCTTTGGCTACGTGCCCACACTAATAATAAAGGTACACATACTTGAGGAATTCATATCCTATAATGATTTATGTATTTTCAGTGATGATTCAGCCACTTATTTACATCCAGTTACGGGAACATATTCGTCACTTGATCTGTCACTCGCCGACTCCATTTTGAATAATGAATTTGAATGGATGGTCCATGATGAACTATGTGAGAGTGATCACTTTCCCACCATTCTCAAAACAATCAACTCTGGTGATAATCTACCTTTGTGACAAAGGAACTTCACCAATGCTGAGACATACAACTGTATGGATAACAGCTTCATATTTATTGCATAGAGCGACGTTTCGATGTAGATTCTTACAACGTATCAAGCTAAATAACTTCGCTCTATGCAATAAATATGAAGCTATCATCCATAAAGTTTTATGTCTCATTTCTAGAAAGCCGATCAAATAGTTCACCAATGTTGATTAGTCATTGTATATAAGACACTATGTACTGATCACTTAAAACATGATCTTTTTGCGAACAGCAAAGAACCTATACAGTTGTTCTCAGATATCCTAAACAACATTCCTAACTAAATTATAGGAAAGTCATCTGCAATCCACACATTCGGAATCCCTAGACTTGGTTTAATATGGGTCCATAGTTTAATAACGAATGTAAACCGCACAGAAAGTGAAGGAAAAAGCAGAATAATATTATCGACGACATCATACATCATAAATTGTCGAAATTCTTGCCAAACACTCTTCATCCTCCAATTAAGTCCCTCAGTTTCAAAAGTATCAGAAACAGGAGAAGAGTGATTGAGTGAGTTAATATTTATCGTCACATCGGCCATATCGTGACGAGAACAGTTTATAATTATATTATAGATCAATAAAGAAGGACATTAAAAACCGAAACAGGAGAAGAAAAGAATCAATTTTAATTCAGGCAATGGTGAAGAGTATAATGAATTATCTCCATAACATGAGCTACCGCCCTTGAGCAAGCTCTTGACACAACAACAGGGGTTGATAATATCTTCTATCAGCTCCTGAAGCATTTGCCCGAATCATGTTTGGAAACAATGCTAACTATTCTCTTTTTTATACAATATGGCCATCAGGGAATTTCCCGTCTCGGGGAATAATTTTATTGTATTACCTATACCGAAGCCTGGCCGGGATCATACTGATCCTTGTAGTTACAGACCAGTTTCTTAACAGACCAGTTGTGTCTGCAAAACCAGGGAACGTATGGTCAATAATAGATTAATTTGGTATGTGGAAAATAAAAACTTAATTACTAATATACAGTGTGGTTTCCGGAAAAATCTTTATACTATGGACCATCTAGTACGACTCGAATCCTTTGTTAAAAAAAACACTTGTAACTAAACAACACATAGTATAAATTTTCTTTGCTCCGGAGAAAGCCTATGATACCACATGGAGAAAGCCTATGATACCACATGGAAGCACGGCTATTTGGAGGATTTACATGATTTCGGTTTGAGAGGTGGTTTACCCCATTTTATCTCCCAGTTATTAAACACAAGGCAATTTCAGGTCTGTGTGGGGTCCACCCTGTCTGATCATTACGTTCAGGATCAGGGTGTTCCACATGGCTGTATTTTATCTGTTACTTTATTTGGTATTAAAATGAATAGTCTTTCAAAGGTTTTTACTGATACAGTCGATGGATCTTTTTTTAGGACGATTTTAATGTTTCTTGTGGAAAAAAATGCATGCAATAGAGACTCAGTTATAACTGTGTCTCAATAAAATTCACAAATGGTCAAATGAAAACGGTTTCAGATTTTCTAAATCAAAATCAAATTGCATCCATTTCTGCCGTAAATATAAACTACATAAAGACTCAGAACTATACTGGACAAGAATAGTTAGGGATATACGTAAATTTTGAAATTATGAATAATGATCTATTTATTCATTGACACTCTGATAAAATATCAATCGTAAAAATACCAATATCCCTAACTTATTTAGTCCAGTATATGTTTTAATGGGACTCAAATCAACGTTGTCAAGGAGGTTAACTTCTTGGGTCTAATTTTTGACTCCCATTTAACTTTTCTTCCGCATATAAAATACTAAGTCCTGAAGGCACTCGACTTGTTGAAAGTCGTTTCCAACTCAAAGTGGGGGTGGGATCAAGCTGCCCTCCTACACCTATATGGATCATCGATCCGCTCGAAACTTGATTATGGCTCCATTGTGGTTGAGCCTGCAAAAGCACCTAAAACGAATAGATTCCGTCCACCATCAACGTCTAAGACTTTCTCTTGGATCTGTTGACAGTCACTACGTCGAGGCTGGTGAGCCATCTCTAAACCATCTCCGTATAAAATTAACTTTACAATACATAACAAAACTGTATGTATATTCTAATGAATTTTGGTTCCACCTTTAGGAATAAGAGTCAAACCTTTCCGTTCTGTTGCTAGCATTCAGCTGGATAATATACCTCCTTCCATCCTCCTTTTTTTCTCCTCCATGGTAAATAGTTAGGCCACAAGTTGACCTAAATCTCACAGCAATTAAAAAATCAGAAACTAATGAATTACAATATAAGCAATAATTAAAAAAAAATTAAGCAATTAAAAAAGTAAATATAATACACACAAATCCTTACTTACAGATGGATCCAAGGATGATGGCGCAGTGGCTTGTGCCACTGTCATTAGATCCAGAACACTATCCTCTGGATTACCAGATGTTAGCTAATATTTCATCATATATCCGAGATCTGGTGCAAAAGAAGTGGGACTTCCATGTTGGTACCAATAAATTACATCTGATAAAATCAAAACTTGGTTACTTGGGTTGTCAGTGCAGATTTGTAGGAGGTCATTATGCGATAATGTCACATTGGCCATACAGAACAGAACAGAACAGAACAGAATTTTATTTCAGTAACAGGCCTCCGGCCCAAAATACATGTACATAAATTGATGATAAGTAGAGCACATATATATTTCATTTAGATTTGTGTTTCTTGTCAACAAAGTATAAAAATAGGCATACATCCTTGATAATATTAACATTTTTACTCTGTAATATTGATATAAAATTAATAATTGATGGACATTTACTATTACAGATATAAAACATGCCATTCATCTTCAACAACAAAGATACCATTTAATTTACAAAACAGGCAATGCCTTTCATTATATGCAGCATCAGTGTATCTGCCCGTTTCAACTGCTAGTTTAAAATTACAGCACCGAAATCGGGCATATATAGTTTTTAAATATTGAGGGATATCATTATTTATCAAGTAGCCATACAATATATTATAGACATAAGTATTTCCTGAAAGGTGAAGATCCTCCGTTTTGTATCCCTTGTGATGAAATAATCACGGTCAAGCATGTCAAAACAGTGAGGGGTCTTTTTAACGTTGATTATCATTTAATATTTCAAAATTGTGTAGTTCAATTGAGCAGCTGAAATTGTGCTAATCTTTATCCTCACAGGGGGTTGAAGTATTGTTTGAGAGTGGCTGTATCGTCATAGGGGGTTGACGTATTGAAAACTTATTGTCCTCCTGTGGGGGTACGTAAGTCCCAAAACATGAAAAGTAAATTTAACCATATCACTATCTTAAATGTATGGCCAGATTGTCAATAGCTAATGGGATGGTGCAAATCCATCTAGGATTCATGCAAGAAGCAAATGTACTGGAAGTCACCATGGTCCCCAGTATGGTGATCTACCGCCAGTTGTTGGCAATCTATTCAAATGCCTGTTTTTATATTGTATCGTCTTCTATTGTTAAACAGATTTATATTTACATACGTGTTTTATATTCATGTCTGTGATAGTATAGTTGTTTTACAGTCATTGATTGACATGCTTTCTGTAATCTATATGTATTTTTCGTGATTGTAAAACTTGTTTTAATCACGATATAGCTGAAATATTGCCGATGTGACTGTAAATATTAACTCATTCACTCATCCCAAGAAGATTGTAACTCACAAAGAATCTATCTTAACTATAAGATCGCTCCGTGGGGCGAGCCCCAGAATGTGCTGGATCCACGATTGATACTTTAGGTACACAAAGTTGTAACGATGATCTTCCAGATCAAATAATTGTTGCTATAGGATAGATATGGAGATACGACCAAACCAGTTTCCGTGATTTAATTATATTCCAGGCTCGACTGGTCGGAGAAGTCAGTAATCGTTAGTTTCAGCGTCCCTAGACAGATCAAGAAGTTCTCGAACAACACCTTTTCGATGGTCACCGGCACATCACCCAGGAACCGTTTTCGGTGTGGCGATGCTGTCGTTAAGCTGACTGGAACTTTTGTTTGTGTAGAAAAGTCCAACGTGTGGTGATAGTGCTTTTGACAAGTATGGAGAGAACGGAAAGGTCGTATTTGTTTCAAAACACGGGGATTAATCTTTCATTTTGTGTTGTTTTGTAGTTGTGGATTCACAATGAATTGCTTAATGGTTAAAGGGTTGGATATTCTACTTTCTTGGCATTTACTCACCACTGACCTAAAGAAGATATCCAGGTGGTCTTTTAGAATACAGAACCTATTTCTATTTCCATCACTGTCAATGTCTGGAAATCGAAAAGAGGACTACCAGACTGAGTGAATTATCTGTTTGAATCATTAGGTTGAACATTTTCTCTGTTTTCTCAGTAATATGTGTTCTCAGTAATATGTGTTGAGAGTTCCACATCAGAATTCTAAAAGTGTTAGTATGATATCAAAATTGTGGTGTATTTTTGTGGGCATCATGTTGAATGTCGCTTTGCTTTCACAAGGGACAGTATTCACACTGAATACTTGCTTATGTTTTATTTTTGAACAAAATAACAACTGTATTATACCACTCGCTGCAATTCGTTCTTCTTCAGTGTTCACCAGGAATCATTTTAAATAAGAATCATTATTTGTGAGTTGAAACTCACGTCAGTTGAAAAATAGAATACTTGCCTTTTCGGGTTGATAGGATTCCCCTTATCCTTGCCATGTGATTGTGCATAATACCGTCCAGTCACGTAAGGATTTCTTTCCACTCGCAGACCAAATGTTGCCATTCTAGAAACAGTTACCAACATCATCATTTGTATTATTGTTACCAATTGCGTGAAGCCAATATAGAAATTCACTACAATGTCGACGTTTTTCACTGCTTGATGACAGACGGACTGCCCAGAGTTAAAAAGCGCTCTCCATACAAGACCACCTTCGACCAACTTATCGTATCTTAATTTAGGGATATAACTATATATAATTATATATGTCAATGTCTACTTATCAACTCTCGAAACTATTTTGAATCACATGTGTTGTCATTTATACAACACAGGGGAGGTTACATGAGAAGCAAAGCCACATTACCTTACGTTACGACTCTATCCCTTTGGGCAGGCGTATTTTGCCATCAGAAAGTTTATCTTTTCAAATTTTACATAATATATAAGAAACTTCGTGCGATGTATGATTAAGTTTTTATGTTAGTATACTAGCCACATAAAGAAACTGTGCGTTGTCAAAATATTATCCCAGTTGATAAGTACGATAACAATGTCAAAGGTACATATAAACTTTAATGGAGGGATCATGAGACCGTAACAAGTCGGGAGAATTTCAATTGAAAAGTCAATCACAATGACGTCACACAAGCGGGACAGGGGTCACACGACCATGTCACAAGCTCAATAACGGGTATGTCCACCATCGGCATTGAGAACAGCAGTGCATCGACGACGCATAGAGCCTATCAAACGTGCAAAGAAGGCTTGTGGGATGTCACGCTGGATTCTCTCAAGTTCTGTTGCAAGGTCAAGGACGTTATCTAGCGGATGAGGAAGACGGCGTAGACGTCGATCCATCTCGTCCCAAACATGCTCTATCGGGGAGAGATCCGGTGAGTTTGCAGGCCAAGGCAGTAAGTCAACGTTGTGGTGTTGCAAGAAATCCATAGCAACCCTTGCCGTATGAGGGCGGGCATTGTCCTGTTGGAATGTTAGCCCAGGGCCATGACGTTGCAGAAAAGGAATTGCCACAGGTCGAAGAATCTGATCCCTGTAGCCCACACCAGTTAAGTTGCCCTGAACAATCACCAAAGGAGTTCTTTGGCGTGCTGTTATTCCACCCCAAATCATCACGGAACCACCACCAAAGCGATTCCTCTCAAAGACACAGGCCTGTGCATAACGTTCTCCCACGCGTCTATAGGCACGTTGACGTCCATCACTATGGGACATGTTAAACCTGGACTCATCTGTAAAAACAACATTTCTCCACCAAAACAAGGGTCTGCAGACATGATTTCGGCACCACATTGTCGAGCATGTCGATGACGTTGTGTCAGGATAGGCCGTATGGCGGGACGTCGTGGTCTGATCCCGTGACGACGTAAACGTTGTCGAACTGTGTTGGGGTGGATACGGCGAAGTCCTGGGATGGTTCGGGCAGTCATCACTGCTGTCTGAAACCTGTGGCGAAGATGGGTCACCCTTATCCATCTGTCCTGTCTTGGCGTTGTTACACGTGGTCGTCCAGAACGTGGCCGATCGATGACGTCATTTGTGTTCTGGTAGCGTCTCACCAGTGCAGAAATGGTGTTCCGGTGGCAGTGGAAATGTGCAGCCACTTGTCTTTGAGACATTTCCCCACGGACCATCCCAATGGCCTCATGACGTTGTGCAGACGTGAGCCTTGGCATGCTATGCGTTTCAATAGCCGTTTAATTTTTCGACCGATCGCAAGGGCAGGGGTTGAGCTTTCCAAAGTGACAGTATTGTGTGGCATTCATTTGCTCTGTTTCTCTTTCCCGGAATGCACGTGCAACAACGTATTGCACGTCTCAGGGACGAACCCACTGACGTCACGGAAAGTGGCACGTGCATGTATGTTGGATACATGTCACTAATCTCTAAGTTTAATTCTTATGTGTCTACACAGGTATGATAAATTTAGATTTTAAATTTTTGTATGCACAGTTTCTTTATGTGCCTAGTATATTTTAAAATCGCACGTCTGTAAAATCATGCAACGACAGGTAAATATTCGATTAACTTGGTATCTTGAAACCAATAACTTTATAACGAATATTCAATGTGGTTTCAGGAAACATGGTAGTACCATTGATCATTTGGTACGACTAGAATCCTTTGTTAATAATGCTATAGTCAATAAACAACATGAAGTATCGATATTCTTTGATCTCGAGAAAGCATACGATAGCACCTAGAAGCATGGCATCGAAAGGATTTACATCATTTTGGTATGAAGGTTCTTTAACCTCTTTTTATATCACGGTTTTCAACAGACAAACAATTTCACGTCCGAGTGGGTTCAACCCTGTCTGATCATTACAATCAGGATCAAGATGCCCGACAAAGCAGTATTTGTCTGTAACACTGTTAAGTATTAAGATCAACAGTTTATCCAAGGTTTTAATGATTCAGTTGATGGATATATGTTTTTACTGTCCTTCATAGTTTTTATAATGTAATTGCGTTTATTATGAATTTATAACTTTTAAAATCACGATATGGCTGAAATTTTGCCAATATGACTCACTCATTCACTTACTCACTTAAAATGTCTCCTCCAAATGATGTGCAATGTATGTATCCCTTGGAAGTATCCCAAACATAAAACGTCAGAGAATGTTCAGTCTCGATTGCGGTTATACTAGCCGCAAGGCACTGAATAGTCGATATGTGGATATTAGTGATCCGATTCCGGTATTTGCGAAAGTAATTATAACTATGTAAGTGGTCATTATGCAGTTTCCTAAGACATGTACATCATCTTTCACCTCATTGGGGACATCGTATGAGGATACCTTCTTAGCAACCATGTGTCCTAAGGACGAATCATTGGTAAGGTGAACAGGTTCAGAACCTTGAATGATCATCGCTTCAAATGTGCGTATGAACTGTCTCGTGATTCCAAGTTTGTCTGTTAATATATAGACTACCGTCGTTTAGCCAACAATGAACGAGCATTACCTTTGTCCGAAATCGTCATCCTCTCCACCCCAGCCGAAGTACAAGTTAGAAAAGCCGTTGATCCGCTTGTACTGACTTGGCGTTATTGCAACATTTCCTCCAACATACCATTGATATGGCAGCCTGACAAAACGTATATTTTGGTGATTACAAACAGAAATCTAATGGAACAAATTTGAATGGCATCTTGCATGTTTATTCATCTTCTTTTTTTTCAAAATAAAGACATGCAATGGATGCTTTGTCGTAAAATGATTGGAATGGGGTCCTTAATATCTTTGACACGTTTCATTGTATCATAGAATTAGATACAGATATTCACTGACGTGTACGAAAACAGAGTATCATGTTGCAATCAAACCAACTGAGGTGATGGTTTCCCTGAATGACTACAATATTGATATTTGCATCGCCACAGCTTGCATTTGATGTTGTTCAAACACCCTAAGACGTCCTCAAATTACATATTAAAACGACGTTTTTCGCTCAGCAAGCCTCAAGATGTGAAATCAATAATAACTTAAAACATTAGAGAGAACAAATAACTCGACGATAGTCATCTATTTCTTAAAACTGACTTATTTTGTGGTGTTTCGCAAATATGAACTCAAGGAGTATCAAGACTGAAACAGTACTTTCAAATGGTTATATACTTAGTTCCAAAAGAAATGCGACATGTCCATTTGAAATAAGAACTGTTATCCCACATACATGCTTCCTGACACTATATGCTTTACACAGAACGCACCAAAGAAAGATAAAAAACAACAGCAACGACAGTGGATTTAAGATATGATTAAATTTGTATTGTGTCCAACCTGAAGAGTCTGCATTAAACACGTTTAGACGCTTAAGCTGATATTCGATGTCATCAGTACCTGGTATGACCACTATTATTGTTTATCACATGAGTACACCGTCTTCCCATGGACATGAACAAACGTCGAATGAAAGCACGGGGAATGTTATTGTACTCATGCAACACTGCATTCTCCAACTGCCGCCGATTTTGTGGAGGAACTTGTCTTTGACGAAGGCGTCGGTACAACTCGTCCCAGAGATGTTCCACTTGATTCAAATCAGGACTAAGAGGTGGCCAAACCATTGTCTGGATGTGGTGATTAGCCAGGAATTGTCCTGTGATAATGGCGGCGTCGCGGCGGGCATTTTCGTGTTGGAACTGCAAATGTGGTCTGGGTCTAAAGAACGAGACGACAACAGGCCTTAAGACTTTGTCAATGCAGTGTCGTGCAGTTGCATCCCTTCCACGACCTTGACCGTTGTTTTGGAAGATTACAGGTGGTACATGCCTTCCCCAGCTCTGAAACGTTCCTTTCGTCTACGCCATACTCTCACCCTCCCATCTGCAACGTGGACACAACAACAACCTTCTGCCACTGTGCTTATCTGCAATGCTGATGTTGGCGAGCCCAATAAACGCAGACGACTGTGCCGTGGCGTCAAAATCAGTCCAACATAGGGTCTCCTACATTGTAGCCGGTGTGCTCTCAAACGTCGACGCACAGTGTTTCCTGAAATTGGTCTGTTGTGCATCCCAATTGTCTGACAGGGTGTAACAGTAGCTGGAAGAAAACGGTTGTGAAGATGTGACGTTACGATGTAACGGTCTTGCCTGTGTGAGGTCACTCGTGGCCTGCCATCTCTAGGTCGATCTCTCACCGAATTCGTTTGATTTTGGCATTTAATCAGTCGGTAAATTGTTGTCCGATCTACTTCCATATGTTGTGCAACGTTGACAACACTGGAACCAGCATCAATTATCCCAAGAGCACGTAGACGTGCTTCATTGCTCAGACGTGGCATATTGTTCTCTGAACCATTCAGAAAAAGAACACAACAGAAACTGCCGTCGCATCTTTTAAAGGGTTCTTTCTCTCGTTTTTTTCTTGAAGAAAGTGTCGTCTCATTAAATTCATGTGCACAACGCGCCAGGGCATGCGTTTATGTGATGCGTTTCTGTTGTTGTTTCCCATAAAAATGTTCAATAATTAGATTCAGTTGTTACGGCTAATCTGACGTTAAAAGTCTTGTTTCAGAAGGTTAATTGGTTTCAAAGAACATTTAACATGCACATTCGATATGATTGTAAAGTAGATAAGACAATTATGGACATTTAAAAAACAAAAATGAATGTTGCGTTTCTTTTGGAACTAAGTATATATGCATTGTTGCAACACGTACATTGTACGTGATTGTCATTTCAAACCATATTATTTTGAATGCACACGGGTTAAAACAGCCAATAGATTCCTAAAACCAACCTCCCTTAACGTTTGCTGAAAATAAGAAGGTATTCCAATGAGCCGGACACCTACTTATAGTCAAATTTCGCATTGGCAGTGGATAGATGCAGCGGGTTTTTCCGACAGCGATAGTAGTTGTCGCTAGTCTCGGGGATGAGGTCGACATCATGGATGACAAGGCAGGTGAAGTTATCCGCCTTCAGCGCGGCTGCCACCCCAGCATTGATCATTAGACCTCGGTTAAAAGTTCCTCCTGGTGCCTGAAACAAGTAAGGAATATGTTTCAACGACAAAACGTAGGAAGATCCCATATATGTTATTCTTAGCTGATTTACTGTTACCTTAACACTATACTACTTTGCTGATCGACGCGCATATTTAGGTATGGTTTAACAAGGGACGTCATCACACAGATGTGTGAATTTGTGTGACCTAATCGACCTTGACAGTTACCCCACCCCACTTTTGGATGAGCCCCCTTCCGGGCCAGGTGTGTGACCTTTAGGTTGACCTTAGTGTTGACCTTAGTGGTCTGTGATAGTAATATCCTCTATTTTGTTTTATGACGTTATCACACAGTTGTGTGATCAAATGTGCACCCCGAGTTCATTCTAGGTGTGGGGAAATGTGAGCCCATGACTCAATTTTCGTGGGCCATTCAGAAATTGTTGGGTTCACACAGCAAACGTCATATGATAAATTTGATGTACAGATACGTTCTAATTATTTATATCTTTCATTGAATTTTCAACGTAGAATTAATATTACAATATTAATATGAATATTAGGAGAATTTAGTGAGTGAGTTTAGTTTTACGTCGCACTCGGCAATATTCCAGCTATATGGCGGCGGTCTGTAAATAATCGAGTCTGGACCAGACAATCCAGTGATCATCAGCATCAGCAACTGGGAACAGATGACAGGTGTCAACCAAGACAGCGAGCCTGACCACCCGATCCCGTTAGTCGCCTCTTACGACAAGCATGGGTTACTGAAGATCAATATTCGAACCCGGACCTTCACGGGTCAGGTGAAATTACGAAGCTAAAGATGTTATTTATTAGGTCACAGGCCAATTTTGTTCGATGTAAACCAGTCAGATTTCATTCTTAACGACTCGCGATTTGGTACAAGGAATAACTGATTTTTAAGTTCTGAGTATTTATTTTCCATATCTGTGAACAATAAACGAGTGTAGCTGTTCGTAAATATATTATGATATCTTCAGTGCGCCAAATGTAAATTTTGTGCTTGAATGGGGCAGCCTAGAATGAATGATGAACTCTGTATACTCAGGGGTCAGCTTCGGCCATTTAGGGAGAAGTGTGTGACCGGAATCAAATAGAGGAAATAGACCCTCAAACACAGTTGATTATTAAACTGAATAACTTGTTAAAACGTCACTTGGGGCTGTATTGAGGGTCAAGTGGTTGGATAAACATGAAATGGTTTAGCATTTGTCATATATGGTGTAATTGTATAAACTCAATAAAGAAAACAAACAAACTTATATTTGCTCTCTTGTAAAAGTTTCGGCTGCTTTTACTCAAAATTTTAATGTGTAACTTTCATTGCTCTCAAACTATTCAATTAACCTAAAAAACCATTTCATTTCTATTTCCATGAATACCATATGACAGTACACTTATTTTACATCATGTGACACATAGGTTACTGACCCCTTTTTGATGGATAAGTGACCTATTTTTAAAGGCTCAGTGGCAGTCAACTGATCAGGGTACAAAGCTCCTTTTGTCCATTTGCAATAATATCTGTAAGCGTATTGACAAACTGTGGTTTCAAAACAAATGCTACGATAGGCACATAACTGGCAAGACATACAAAATACCAGCCTGTGAACTAATCTTCGTAACACCGCTAGATAGTAATTTCTATCATTTTTCCTCAGGAAACGACGTCTTACATATCGAGTCACTGGTGATCTTCCCTTTAATAACCTATTGATAATACCATTGATGGCAAGAATCTGTTCTCTGTTCATTACTAAGTTGTGTTGTCGAATCTCCTCAACGTCTTGAAACATTAACTTGAACCTTAAAAACTCGTAATGTTTCAACACGTACCTTGTGATAATTCTAGAAAACAAATTCTTACTCCTATCATGGTTGGGATCTCAATGAGATTAGTATTTGAGAAAGCCTGTATTTATACATCGACAAAAGACTATACATAGACAACCAATGCAAATATACTCTAATATTTATTTACTACCAATAACAGTTTCACAAGTATACAGTATTTTACATCACACTCTTAGTTACACATGTAAATTCACATGACTACCCCAGCGGGTCACCTCTATCTGAGGTATTCCCGTCAGGGCCAAATACGGACAGTCTGGAGACCATTTTTCATGTTCGACACAGGGATCATCATCTAATTTCTTGAGATGGAGTGAGGTGAAATTGGATTTAACGTCGTGCTTGAGAATATTTCGCTCATGTGACGACCCATTTCTTTGAGAGCGAGACCACACTGAAAACACTTGCAAAGCGTCCCCTCTGATTAAGTACACAAATCCCGCCTGGGCCATTGGACTTGGCCGTTCTCTTTGACCACTAAGCTCAGAATGAATTTCCAAACACTGTTTGGGGACCTTACATTGCCCACCTAGTCTAAAAATAGTCATTTGAGTCATAGTCTAAATATAGACTCAAACACGAGACCTGGGGTTGATGGCGTCATAAAAAAACAAAATGGCGGATTTTCAGCTAATTACCTCTGGTAACAACAAACGGAAACCTGCTCACGTCTCAGTACCTACAGGCTGTGCATCACAATCAGACCTGAGAGGGTATATAAGTACTATTTCATTCAAAGGTTTTTCATACTGCGTGTTTTTAATCATAGAAAAGCCACTGTCATTAGATCCACAACAATATCTTCTAGAATACCGGATAACAGCTCTATTTTTACAGCAGGAGCAAACGCCAAATAAACAGCTCCTTAATATATTCAAAGACACCCTAAACATAAGAAATATATAATCTTTCGTGCCTTCAGGCTAATAAAACCTTATCTAGTAAACATCCACTTTTAATTGAAATTATTGAATTATATAATGAGCTTGCAACTGGCCAATGTTACATCGTCTTTTGTTGGTTACCCAGCCATGTTGGCATTTCTGGACTGATTTTGCTGCTAAAGCAGCACTCAGCAAATCTATTGCTGGGATTTTTTTTGACTAGTTGGAAGTTATACAAGCTTGATCTCTACAGGTACTTTGACTCTCTGGGGCGCACCAACTTGACTTTTCAATCATCTCGAGTGTCAGGTTTTTGCCAAGTCCACACAGAAACGGTCCACCATCCATCGTTTCTCGTATCTTGCAGCCATACACTGGAATCGTTTCTCCAGTCGGCATAGAGAGCAGTAGCAACAATCTATTCTCCCCTTCGTATTTAGCTACAGCAAACTTTTTGCACATATAGATTCCCTCCGGAACGTCTGCCGCTTTTTGGTGTTGGTTGGATGGAGGGGCTGCCACTTCCATATTTTTTGGCCCGCCGGAGAGGTACACAGGTACGCTACTTTTTGGTTCCATTGTGTTTGCATTTGTATTGTGTTTGCATTTGTTTTGTATTTGTCTGTATTTTGGTTGCCGAAACTCATCGGTGCCTACAGATTTTAAGGCTCCTATTATATCAATGCTGCTTCTGCAGAGTCAATATAATATATTCTCTGTGACACAATCCCAAGAAAAAAAAATCACCAAAAACTTATGCATATCAATGATGGTCTCATTCGACCACGCTCATTTATTCATCATTGATGGACCTTTTATTAAACCTAATTAAGGCTTTGAAGGGAACTGGTCCAAAACTATCAGTTCTTATACTACTAAAGGTATTGACATGCTCATAAATTGTCGGCAGAAGGTTGATAGTATAAAGGGACTATACGTGGTTTACAATATCTAAAAAGGTTTCTTTCATACATTTTTATCAAGAAATTACACGTAATCACACGTAATGTTTTATAACAGCTGCTATTTCGCCATGTTGGGCAGAGCAGACATACGTAAAATACCAGCTTAAAGAAAACAAGGTCTAAAGGGATGGTGTGTATGAACAGGCCAGTTCAATGAGGATATATGTAAAGTTACCTGCGTTGCAATGTATCTCGTCAAGTGCGCCTTGCGACATGTTCAGAAGACTCTAAGCAGCGTTCGAAATACCTGCCTGCCCGACCGCCCGGGATGGGTTATTTTCAACACAGACTGCAAGGTTCTCAAATTCACCTGCCCGACGGTCGGGTTAAATTTTAGACATGTATATTAGCATTTTTTTGTGGGCAGGTAAGTTTTGGTCTGGGCTGGCAAATTTTACATCCAACCAGCCCTGTGGTCCGGCTGAAATTTTTGTGGGTTTCATACCCTGCTCTTAGAAGACTAGATTTGCATACTGGTCACTTATGATTCGGTACCGGTATTTCGACCGGCGTAGCAAGCAGGAACCATTTTCGATAAGATACATTTCCAGTGTTCAACCGAAAAATGATAAACCACATAAACAGCAAAAACTACACTACACACCCATTTACCTGTTCTGCAACGAATATCGTAAAGTCCGCCTGTTGTTTTTTGAGGAAGGGGATGAGGTTGTTGAGGAGGATCCCCAGATGTTGCTTCCTGTCTCTGTAAGGAATAACAACGGCCAGTCGCTGCCCGGTCCGACACCCCTCGGGCCTGTATCTGTCCCCGGGATGGGAGGGATACTTAGTCTGCAACTCATCTAGGGAGATGTTTGTGAGATTCAGCTTCACAGGTTCAACTTGAAACAGAAAATGTATCCGTTTTCTTTTCTATGTCACTGTTTATTCTTGACACTGGAAGAAAAACCCAAATAATGCAGACTATAGATTTGTTTCCAATGAGGGGATATCAACCCATATTCAGAGTCATCTCCACATAGAGGAGACACAGAAAGTGTTCCGGGTACTGCAAGCCATGGTCTTGATAATAAATATATTCAGCATGCACGGCATTGAAGAGGAGATATTGGACCATATTTAGTGTACAGAGGGCCTATCAGACTATATTCCGCGTAAGTGGCCACACAATAGGGATATCTAGCCATATGCAAGTTATGTAGCCACACAGAGATGACATCAGACCATATTCAGGGCACATGGCCACACAGATGGGATATCAGTTCGAAAAGTATATGACCACAAAGAAGTGATATCAGATCATATTCTTGATACATGGTCATACGACAGAAGGAATATCAGGCCATAGGCAGGATGCATGGCCACACACAGATGATATACCATATTCAGGACAAAAGGCCACGCGGAACGGATATCAGACCATTTTCAGGGTACAGGGCCACACAGATGATATATCAGACCGTACGGAGGTATATGAACACGCACTGGATGAGATTGTCTCAAACATGTGGCAACAATTGCTTGTTCCAGGGTGTTGTTTAACGGCGCAGTACCCTAATGATTAATATACTTACGTATATTTGGTGGTTTTTCCGGGCATGTGGGAAGTAACATCATATTAAACAGTCTCTCCGTTGTTGCATTTGTCATCAATATTTCTGTAGTCGACCAAGGGAAGGTATGGGGCAGATGTTTGGAAAAGTGGGATATATATACAAGAAACACAGTCAACAAACTACCAATTACCAACAATACTCTTACTAGGTTTCGCAAACACGTCGCCATATTATTCTTGCAAATGCTATATTTTCCATAAACCAAAATGACTCGTTAACTGTGCTCATATACAGGAGGGCAGGAGAAAGAGCTGTAAACATGAGCAGTGTTGTCTATTGGTATGAATTTCTATATGTTGTATTTAGCGGGGGGGAATTTCAAGGATGAAACATAATTTATGTTCCATCAGGAACCATTTGCAAAGAAATTTACTCAAATAGCCCGTGAGTTTAGTATTGAAGTGATTTTCTTATATGTTGTTCCGGAAGGCAGAAATCCTGCAAAATAAGATTTTATGAAATCATGACATTGCGATGTGACATAGTTAAAGGCATTATATCACACCACACTTCTTTAAAAAATAAATAATGCATTTTTCTCAATAATACAAACGATCAGCCCTCAGGGAAGCAACCATATAATTATTTAAAAAAATTAAATTACGCATTTGGATTACAATATTAAATTAAATCGACTCTCGCTCCCTCTACTGGCCGATCATTATGTCAAGCGAACACCATAGGGTTATGTCCCTTGGGGCGCTCTTTGCGAATACCCTACGCACCAATTGAAATCAGTTTGGCAAACACTGACAAACCGCGTGCAACAGTTTTCGATGTACAGAGCAATTGTTTACATTCCATATTTGGCAAGTGTTCTCTGTTTGGAAGCTGTTCGCCTCGAAGTTTCAATTATCGATATCAGGCAAGTCGTAAGGGATAATAAATAATTATTGCATCAACAGGAAGCTTAGGTGAGTGCATATGCCCCAATATATAATATAGGCCAAAATATTGTCGAAAATGTGTGACATTGTGCCTTTGATAGGCATTGCTTCCCATGCTCACATATGTCTGGAGTGAATAAGTGGGTTAAACGTCACATCAACAAAATTTCAGCCATATCGTGGCGACAGTTAGTCAAATGTTGAGAATAAAGATAATAATATTCTTTAAAATGTTGTCAGCGAAGGACAGTATAACTACCAGGTTATCACAGATAGTGAGTTAATATTTAACGTCACATCGGCAATATTTCAGCCATATCGTGACTAGAATAATTTCATTTATATCAATATTAAAATCAATACATTAAGAACGTAAAAACGAACGTCATCGAAGGTCAGTAAAGTATCACAGCTCTTAATTTAAAACTAGTACTCTATCATAAAATTAAATCAGTATAGACAGTACAAAAACGAGCTACAGAACATAAACAACTTAAGATAGATCACCATACTAGGGTCCATGGGGACTGACAGTACTTTTGCTACCTGCATGAATCCCAACTGGATTTACACCATCCCTTCAGCTGCAGGCGATTGTGTTGAGTTATTAAAAACAACACAAAATATACTACGATTAAACGTTTGGTAGAGCTAAACTGACTTTAAAGTTTGGGGAGTTACGTACCGTCTCATGAGCACAGTAATTTTACAATACTTCAACTCCCTTTGAGGGTACAGCAACTAACAATCGCAATTGCTAATTTATACTACCATGTTTAAACTACCAATTGTCTGTTTGCTAAACATATTCAAAATTTATCTGATAATTATATTTCCTTTAACAAAAAATTAAAAAAATGATACCGTTATCACAGATAAGTTATAACTAGTATGAGATCAGTTGAAGTGCCGAATCATCATCATCATCATCATCATCATCTTTATTTCCTCCTCTGTAGGAGATTAGGTGCGTATTACATCAACAAGTGTGAGTGAGTGAGTTTAGTTTTACGCCGCACACAGCCATATGCTAGCTATATGGTGGCGGTCTGTTCGAGTCTGGACCAGACAATCCAGTGATCAGCAGCATGAGCATCGATCTGCGTAATTGGGAACCGATGACATGTGTCAACCAAGTCAGCAAGCCTGACCACCCGATCCCCTTAGTTTCCTCTTACGACAAGCATAGTCGCCTTTTGTGGTAAGCAAGGGTTGCTGATGTCTATTCTACCTCGGATCTTCACGGGTCACATAAACAAGACAGCATGAGTACATTGAGGAGAGAGTTAATTTACTTATAGAGAAATGTGATGTTATGGTAAAGATAAGGTAGAGATGGTTGAGGCGGCACACATAACATCTATACTGGGCGTCATTAATATAGGGTCAAATGACATATAGCACATGTAAAGAGTGAGTGAATGAGTGAGTTAAAATTTTACGTCACATCGGCAATATTTCAGCCATATCGTGACGACGAAAAGTCATAAATTAATAAATAAATCTTATAATACTTTATAGAAAGCTGTCATCGAAAGACAGTATAACAACTAGATTATCACATAATTATTAAACTAGGTTGTAGGTATTTAAAAATAAATTATCAATTGGCGAACACAATATAAAAAGGGACAGAGATCGCTAGCAACCAAAGTTAGGCCACCATAAGGGGACCGTGGGGACGCACAGGTAAAGAAACGTTTCTCAGAAATAATAGAACTAAGAGTGTCATCATAATGTTTAATGTGTTGACAAACGTGACACATCGTGATATACAGACAAAAGTTCAAACAGCACTAGCAAACATCAGTTGTATTGACCAACCCCCGAAAATGAAAATGACAAACATGAAGCACTTGGCAATTCAATATCTTGTGTACCCTCTTCGCCCGTCCAAGAAACTTTGCACCATGTTCTGATGCTCATCATCAAGTTTCTAAAGAAAGCTTCCAGAATCGGATTCCATTCCTCAACTACAGCTCTACGTAATCCTGGGAGATCCACTAGTGCTCGGTGACATGTGTACACACGTTCATCCCTGGCATGCTCAATTGGGTTTAGGTCGGGCAAGGATGCTGGCCACTCCATCCGCTATACACCCTGCTGCCTAGGGAATTCCGTGACAATCCTGGCCTTTGAGGCCTAGCATTGTCGTCTTGCAGTCAGAGGGTCGACCATAAAAGCCATCCATAGCTTGCAGGAATAGTACCTGCTATAGGAGCAAGAATCTCGTTCCGATAACGCTGTTCTGTAAGATTACCGTGGACCACGTGCAGTGGAGTACGTCCAGTAGTACGTACTGCTGTGATTTGCTCTCCACTGCGACGATAAATCCTCTGCCGACCATCATGGAAGGACAAATTGAACCTGCTTTTTTCTATGAAGAGCACAGGAGACCATTGATGATCATTCTTCTCCATCTCAAACGCTCCTGCCTGTGACTTGCACGTAGAAATCACTGACATGCAGTGGTAGGTGGATTTCCACATTGACAATTTGAATAAAAAATGTGCCATTTGTAAAAGAATGCATCGGACGTAAGACAACGTAATAATGATATTTCAACGGCCTGATGTGTTTTTTCCATACTTTAAAGAAAGTTTCTAAGACATTCTCAGTTGTACATATTTCAAACAAAAACGACGATTTTACAACTTTCAGGAAATAGTTTTCCAAATAGCTTGACCCTTCATTCATGAAGTGTATATAGTAAAAGACACAGAGTTTATATTGTACGAACGGGCCCGTGAAGATCCGGGATAGAACCACTGGAAAAAAAATCCACATTTACAAGCTTGGAAATGTCTTGGAAAGATGATGTTTCCAAGACATTTCCAATTTTGGAAAGATGATGCTTCCAAGACATTTCCAATTTTGGAAAGATGATGTTTCCAAAAATTTCCAATTTTGGAAATATCCGCAAGGGGAGATAACTGGTGGGTGATGGTAAGTTATCGTTCTGTATGGGCTAATTGCTAGGGTTCATGCCCGGACTGTCGACAACAAGAAATAATCCGTCCAAATTACTTGTCGACAGTCCGGGAAAAGGGAGGTGATGTTCTACATGAGTGACTTCACTCCCAGTGTTCTCGAAATTAACAAACCAATTAAAACAGAGTGTGATATATATAGTAGACAATATATTTATTCAGTCAATATAACATGCATCATATATCACACAATATAACATATTTGTATATATATTTCATAAAACTCACACAATATATTTGTGTGTGTGTTTTATATAAATAAGTGATTTCTGCAGGTGTATAAGTAATTAATATATGAAAGATGAGTCTAGTTATTTCTTCTGCCAAAACTCCTTTATATCTGCACTAAAGTAATCTGAATGTTCAGCCAAGATGAAGCAACTGTGACACATGGTCTGTGTAATGTAAGTCAGTAAGTCTGTCGGCAAGAAGGTCGGCCTTCAAGGATCGAATCCTAGCGTCGATGATTCGGTAGCGACGTCTACGGACGGGATCTCTCTGCTGTCCTTGGATCTGCTGAATTTTTACTTCAGTAGATGACTGTTCTTTTTGTAGCATTCGCACAACCTCAAATACATTCGGATGTGTCTTCATGGCATACTTGTTGATTTTGTTGTGCCAACCTTCCAAATTATTGTTAGTTCTGTATCCATCATTTTCAAAATGATTCCAAGTTGGCAGTGTCCATGGACCTTCTACCAAGGTGGTAGTAACGTAATCCATCAGCTGTGTCGCCTTTTCACCTAGTGGTGCGTCTGCAGATATGATGGACAGGTTGCATCTGTACATCTCCAGTATGTTTTCTGGGCTCTGCGTCTGTTGACTCTCTACTTGACTCCATTGTGGTAAAGATTCTGACCTCTTTGAATGTTGTCAATCAATGTAACCCGCACCATAGCATTTGCCATTTTGACAGTGGTAATAACATATCTATGATCTATTATATATACCCAAATGCTAAATGTTTACAACAGCATTTCGATAATCCTTCTACTCCCATCTTTCCGGATGTTGTTGCATGTTAAACTCCAAACTGGTAATCCTTCCACTCGCATAACGTAAAATAATAGTCTGTTTTTGCAACCTTAATTCTCTTGCAAATTGTTAAAAAGACATTCTCTTTAATCAACTTAATTCATTTACTCATGATACGAGCATAGCTGTAGCC